AACTCTAACCAGCAAATATTTGGTATTTTTAATTGATCAAGGAATTGATTTCTCAACAAGTGTGGTGAGGAAACAAAATGTAGCCTCACTGCTGCTGGCACTTTATGGTTTATGGTTGTGATTTACAGTTGTTAAATGTTCCTAAATCTAATCAAACCACGTATTGATTTTTCTGTAGCTTTAGATAAATAAGATCCTAGATACACAGATAGATCTTTCAGCTGTTGTTAATTCTCTGTCCTATTTGGTCACTTATAAATTAACATCATAGTCACTGAATGTCCTCACATATACTGTAAACACAGGTCCATTTAGTTCTCTGAGGGCAAAGGGCAATAGTGTTTATTGTTGAGCCTCAGTGCTGAAGTACTGTCCAAACACACACACACACACACAAAGCAGGGACATATATCACTGCACAGCCCAACAGGGACCGAACCATTATTCGCTACTGAGGTGCTCCATCATCATCTCTTTGTCTTGGTCTCACACACTCACACACATATACACACACAAAGCGATCCCTCTGGAGACAAGAGTCCAAGACTTAGAGGCACTGACGGTTGCTCATCTGGGAAAAATTATTTATATATTGAAATGGGAATTTATCAGGTGTCCTGCATTGTATAACAAACACAATACAAATGTTTTAGGGTGGTTTATGGCATCTGTGTAGAAAGTCAAGAAAATAATGATTGTTGAATTAGATTTTTCACATTTTATATATTTGGTCTGAATACTAAAGCTTTTCTATCTTGTCACTCTGTTTAAGTTCTCATTTTCCCATGAAGTCCAAACTTTTATCTACCTTCAAATCCCTTTGGAGAACGCTGTGGGACTCGAGAAAGCCATGTCTGTTATCATCCACCCAGACCTGTGATAATGAGAACCCATACTGTGTTGCTGAAAGAGAAGCTTTCAGATTTACATAAACACTGACACTAGATATTAAATTAAACATACAGTGGATGTCTAAGTGGCTGCATGAATTCAGAATGTTTTTGTAATTAGGTTTCATTGCATTTACACTGTAGTACAGTTCACCTTAGGAGGCCGGTAAAAAGTTGAGACAATCTAATGATGAGCTGCTAATGATGCTTGTTTGTGCTAATGCTGGTTGAAGGTAAAGTGTGTGGCGGGTTGAGGGGAGATAGAGGACACAGTTGTTTCAGCAGCTGCAGAGTCATAGTCTGTTGGTGAAGCCTCAGTAAAACACAGCTGTACGGACCAACCTTTGTTCTTAAACCTCACATCAAATGTATGAACAAAAAGAGATGTGTGCATGTAGTGATACGTGGATATACACATGCACACCTCCACTGATGCGTTCAGGTCAGCAGGAAACAAAGAGACGGGGGTGCAAGGTAATTTCATAACCCCTGCTATACCTGCAAAGTGCCTTCACATCTACACTTTTATCCACCAACACACTCAATCTGTTAGTCATAGTCCAAGTGAGAAAAAAGGTATTTTCACAAAATATATTCTTCCAAAGCATCTCTCTGAATGTAATTTATTGCTTGACATGATTTTAGAAAACAGAAACGTTTCATCATAAAATGTAATTTTCTATGAAATTATTGTCACGAATAATGTTGACGTTTTCTTGTTTTTTTTTTTCTGAACTCCACATGGAGGCCTGGGATCAAATTCCACAAGACAATCCCAAAAGGATGTTAAATGTTTTCCCCCCAGATTAAGTGTCATCAGGAGGTTGAGATAGTTTCATCAGTTTACATGGTACATCACAGTTTAAATGGCTGCCCATAGAAGGAAAATCCCAAGAGATCTCCAAACAGGTGTTTTAGATCAGAAGCTTTGTGACAAGTGGTTTCTTTTTAAGAAAAAGGTTTTGAATTTGTTGAACTGTGGGGCAGGGCAAAAAAATGGTATACATTATTTTCATCGTAACAATATAACAAATGTTCTATAAATGTTTGATGTAATTCATTTGAATCATGAAGGAATTAGCACTTAATTTTTCTATTAAGATAATAATTTTGTTGAGGAAAAGGGGACTGAATAAATATTTTACTTAATTTTTCTCATGTATATTTATTGAAATAATAATTTATCATAGTTTTGAATGTTCTACCTCAGATTTGTTAAGTAAGCCACTGTTTGTTATGTTCTGACCGCAAAGAATAGTTTAAAACCATAGTTAACCATCTGGTTTCTTTCACTTTCACTGAGGAGCAAAAATCAGCCTTTAAACTTGAAAGAAATAATGATTTGAGATTTATTGTGATAATTAGCAAATCGATATTGAATGATGTGACATCTTTTACTATGATAATAATTTTGGCTGTATTGCTTAGCTCTACCTAAGTAAAAATAATTTCTTGGATATCAGATGTATTTTAAACCTCATGTGTGATGTATAGGAAACATACCATAGATTCACAGTTCACTTAAACCTCCTGTACTCTACGTCTCTATCCTTCAGTGCTCTTTCATACACAGTGTTCATTAGCTGTGTAACCTTTTACTTTGAATTACAGTACAGCTCCGTTTGCTGCTTGCCTGCAGGTTAGTCCATTAGTCATTCTGTCATGGCACACTGACTGTTCAAGTTCTCTGTCGTTCAGCTAACCTGCTAGCCAGCTGATCAGTCAGCAATTCAAGCATGCTTCCCTCCATCCATCCAGTCAGTCAGTCATCCATTTATCTGCAGCAGCCAGCCTGTCAGCCTGATGGCTGTAGGCCTGAAAGAGTTGTGACTGGAGCTGAACTGTGCAATTGTGTAGAAGTGTGAGGCAGATTGGAGACCATCTGCTTCCTTAACTGTCTCTCTCTCCTTCTTTATTGTCGGTCTACATTTCTTTCTCTTCCACCTTCAGCAACTTCATCTTCTCTTCCTCCTTTCATCACCCTCCTTAATTCTTATCCCCTTCTTCTCTTGCCCTCTTTATTAAGTGGGTTTTTCAGGAGCTCTGACATGCTAGTGACTTATTCAACCAGTTACAGTATCTCTGTAGTATACATCTTTCTGACATTTCCCTCCCTCTTTTACTTAAACCCTGGTCTGTCCTTACCACTGAATCTGTACCATCATCAAGGTACTACCTGTTTCCTTGTTCTCTGTCTCTCAACTCTGTAAAAGTGGAAGTTTGTTCTTGCTTAGAATCTTCTACTATAATGCAGCCCCATTTTTTCAATTGTTGCTATTACCATAATGATGTTATTTTGGATGTTTAACGAGCACTACTGGCGGCCCCGGTTGCCCCGGCCTTTCTGTGTGGAGTTTGCTTGTTCTCCCCGTGTCTCCGTGGGTTCTCTCCGGGTACTCCGGCTTCCTCCCACCATCCAAAGACATGCAGTCTAAGTTAATTGGTGACCCTAAATTGTCCTTAGGTGTGAGTGTGAGCGTGAGTGGTTGTTCGTCTATGTGTGGCCCTGCGATGGACTGGCGACCTGTCCAGAGTGTACCCCGCCTTGCGCCCGATGTCAGATTGGCTCCAGCCCCCCCGCGACCCTGTATGCAGGATAAGCGGTTGACGATGGATGGATGGATGACGAGCACTACTTTGATACACTCAGGATTTGGCTAACATAGAGTGAAGGGTATTTCTGCTGTAGGAAGTTTTTCTCCTTAGGATTTGTCCTTCTACAGTATACTTTACGCCATACAGTGTTTTCATCTGCAGAACATGGTTTAATTAACTTATAATTGATTATCTTCACAGGTGTAGAGGCATTTCTCATTTATTTTTCTTGTAAAGCGGTTGGACTTTGCATTTATTCACCTTTTCCTCACAGGCCTGCTGCACATGTAGGTATGTGTGAGTGCTTTTATGTGAATAGAGCAGTGATATTGACAGGCGGCAGCCTGGGGCATCTCTTTCTTATTACTGTGTTTAACAAAAAGCCTCTCCATCCACCAGTTACAGGCTCACTTTATATAATAGCAAATGTTTACAATGTGGTATTGTTGTTGGATGTGTGCTGTATGTGGGCTTGGCAGGTAACTGGCCAATGGCCACATTTTAAACTCTGTCAGGTGTCAGGTAGCCTGCTGTGAATGAGGCAGAGGATTATTTGAGACAGAGCATCGATGCTGATTGAATTGGCTGGTCTTGAAAAAGACATGCAGGGTTTTGTCAGACAGAAGAGAGACTAAAGGAAGCTGTTGATGTAATTGTAACACCGAATGGCTGTCTGTTTGGCTCGGTACAGACGAACCTACAAGAATGCACCTATACAGGAATAAGTTTTTGGGATATTGGCTGAGTTGGACCAGTAGGTCATGAAAACATAAGAGACCCTTTGTTCAATCCAGCAATTGCTTACACTGTGTTAACTGATAGCAGGCAACATCATTCAAAGTTATGAGATTTGTAAAATGTTTGTTTATGGATTTAAATATTGTGACAAACTACTCCTTCACTCACACACACAATACTCACACCAACTTAAGATCATTCAACAGTTATTTCAGCTATTTAACAGTAAAGCAAAGCTTTCACACAATATTGAAAGTTAGACTTTATTTCACACTAAGCTATAATAAATCTACTCTGCATGATTCTTTGAGTAAAGCAAAATTTTGAGAAGACGCACGCACACCCAAAACTGTAAAACCAACAGGGGAACACCTATTATAACTTACCATGATGTATAATAACATGTAAGCATGGAGAGATCTACTTGGTACATGTGGGTGAGTTTGGTGTCTATAACCTTATTACTCTGTTTTGGTCCTCCAGTATGAGTACCGCTGTATTTTCACTGTTCTTGTTACCATCCTTTAGAGAAAGTTTTGACATGGCTTCACCTTTCAGTGTGTCTCACCACAATAAAAACTGTGCTTTGTCATTGCTTATCAGCTATGAGGCGTGAGTGTGTGTAACTGTATATATGAGAATTGCCAAAAAGAAAGAAGCAACATAATCACCTTTCTTGTGTCAAGATTATAAAAGAGCAACAGTGCTTTATATATTACATACTTCAATTCTTTTCATACTTTAATTCTTTTGTCTTTCTTCTTGTTCTTTCTATAGTCACAGATGAAGACACAGTGAAGAGATACTACGCTAAGTTCGAGGAAAGGTTTTTCCAGACCTGCGAGAAGGAGCTCCTGAAAATCAACACATTCTATTCAGGTATTTATTTATTTCAGTTGAGGTAACGACTGATGCTGAGTCTATACAGTCAAAGTCAAATGAGGAAAGCAGTTTCAGATCAAATAACTGAAACAGTTGTAATGTGATTATTGGGCTAACAGTCAGAGGAATGATTGAATTGACTGTGTTAATGAACCATCTGTACCAACATGAAGCAAGATCACCATCATTTAATAAAAAAGGATTTTTAATGATGATTGAGTCTGCTCTGCGATAATGCTTCCTTCCTTCCTAAACTCTTGACCTGATGTGTTTTTTAATAATTATCTAGTACAAACCAAGATATAAAGTTATAGGTATCATCACCTATCATCATTTGAGATATTAGAGTTGTAACACAGTTTATTTACTCTGTAGTAATCTGCCTATTTCAGTGCCAAATGACACTGCATCTGATCTTGGTCATTTGATTGAAGCAGCCAGTGGCTGTCAGGTTTAGGGGAGCAGGCCTGCCTGTGTGTATTTCAGGGAGCAAGGGGAAGTATGTGTGTGCTGTGTAACATGAGATGTAAGCCATAATATATTCTGGTATTCTGGTACCAGAAGGTTGCCTTCTGGTTTTCAGCTTCAGCTCAAGGGGAAGTGGGAGGTATCTAAAGCCGGACAGTACTTCCTCTAGAGGCTGTTTGTGAAACTACAGGTCAGATGAGGGCCAAGGTTGTCTGCCAAGATTGTTCCAGCTCATAATGATGGGAAATAACTGGCAGATGAAAAAGAAAAAAGAAATCATCTGCAGATCTTGTTAGCAGGAGGTTGCTGTACTGAAGAAACTTTATTTTGTCTCTAACCTCAGTGGACGTCTCGATTACTGACATGCCATGTCTTGTTAACTTGTCTTTTGTTATCCTGATCCAGTAACTGCTGCAGATAATAACATAGTTCCTTTGCTTTGGACAGAATAGTATGTAAGTAACACTTTAAGTCCCCCTATTAAGCACTTATAAACAATATGTAAAATTTATTAAATAGGTTATAACACTATAATGTAGTTTTCAACAGACATAAGGACATTTTGAAGTGTTTATTAATGTGTAGTGTTTGTCAGGAAGCCTCTTTCTCCATAATAATGTAACTAATTAATGCGTTATCTGTTTATACATCAGCCTCACCTTATGGGTTTTTATGAGTTATAGTTGTCGACAAGTAGAGTAATACACACTAATATCTGCTTATATCTACAGTATATTAATAGTCAAATAGCACTTTTTTGAAAATGGAACATCAAAATGGTCCTCAGAGTTGTGAGGCTTTTGATTTTTGTTATTGTCTGTCTATATAAATAAAACAGGATAAGAAAACAAACTCTTAGTTGCCATTTCTGATCTTGTCAGTGCTACATGTGACATGTGTCTGTTTGCAGCAGAGTCACATCACATTAGTATTACAGTCAGTGAGTCACCGTCTCCTCAGCAGACCTGAGCTGTGAGGTTGGTTAAATGTTGTGTATGAAAATATCAGCATTTCCTTCCTGCTCTCAGGCATCTTGTTTATCCTCCACACACAGGACGATGAAGCAAGAAATTGCAGAGTTGTGTCCGACAGGCAGCTTTATCTGATACCAGTTACTGTGTGTGTAGGTGTGTGTGTGTGTGTGTGTGTGTAGTGTGTAGCAGTTTGAAAAAGCTGGTTATGTTGTGCAAGAGAGAGAGCAGTGGATAGATGGAGATAAATTGTGTGCTGACTTTACATAAGACACTAGCCTCCACATACCTCTTTCTCTCTGTATCTCCCTCTGAAAGGGGTCCTTGACCTCTGATGCTTTGCGCTGAAAACACTTTCATCTTGATGGGTTAAACACACACCAAAAAGACATTTTTGCAGACTGTTATTTTAATAGAATATCCTTTCACCCTTTTTGCTCCTGAAAGTTGAGGAAGAACGATGGGTTATTCTTCTCCACTAAAGCCATACCAGTGGGAATGTAAACTGTCTGTTTCAGGTTCATTAGCCCCTCACAGATGAACTATCTAGCCAGTGGTACTGCAATCCCATACCTGAGATTTAATGTAAACCTACCTGCGTTAGGCAGTCAGGGTCTTGACTTTCTCACGCCTCCTGCTGTTGTCATGTGTTCACCCAGGCAGTTTGTGACGGGCTGTACAAGTCGAGTAGAAGGATTACTGTGCGTTTGGACATCAAAGAAAAGCTGTGGCATTCCTGTCCAGTTTAGGACAGAGGAGCAGCTATTGGAGAACTCCCGTCTAGACTAAAATGGCAAAAACGAAGACTTAAAACTCCGGAGAACCTTTTAGTGCGGACGAGCAAAAACGGAAGTCTTTACGGCTAAAATCCACTGACAATAGATGACGCAGCCACTCACGTTTGGCTCTCTGATTGGGTCTTATAAGTCATGCAAAGCAGAAACACAATGCTACTGAGTTTTTGACTTGGTATTTTTATTAAAATATTTTGTAATGTGCAAATAACACTTGTACTGTGTATATTGCTATATTTACTTAACGACGATTCCAGTCTGTTTTCTGTGGCCACAGTCGCTTTAAACTCCTGTGTTACATTCAGTAACAGTCCCAGCTCATTATTGGTCCATGCAAAAAAAAATCTGGTGTGGTTCTTCGTCTGTAGTAGGCTACTTTCGCCAAATCTTATGTAACTATGGAATAGACAATGTGTTTCATGTTTACACCGGCACGCGCATCCCCAGTGTACGTGAACGGCCACTAGATGTGCGTTTTCAGTTGTTTTAATGTAGACGGAGATCAACTCTGATATGCAGCTAAAACTCTGGTGTGGACGGAGATCATATTGGTTTGAAAACTCCGTAAAACGGAGTTGTGTTGATGGGGCCTCAGTTACCCAGACCGTCAGGCTGGCAGTATGCTTCAAACCAAACCAGATATGGTGTGTCATCAGACTGCTGTCACACAGCAATGTTCTTATTGTGACTCCAGGTCTGCTTTTAATTATTTCCACACCAGCTAACTTAAGCAGGAGTAGGCATGACTTGCAAGTTTAGGGCTTTATATTGAAACTAGTTAACTGTAAATATAAAAAAAAATCCTTATCCATCAACAGTCATGACATTGTCGACCAGTTAAAAGCCACAGAGTTGTAGTGGTGATGAAAGAGGATATGACTGAAATCAGTGAGCCAGCCTGCACACTGACTAGGAGTGTGACTAAATATTGTGCCACGAGATATTAAAACGTGACAATATCTCACTGGGATGAAAAGCTGTCTCACGATATCAGCATGACAGAGTCTAAGAGTTAAATTAGCATAGAAAATGCCCCCCCTACTTTTAAATAATTTGTGTGGCAGCGTTTTGGGTACCTGGTGGAAACAGTAAACGGCGACAGAGTGACAACAACAATATGAACAATATGTAAGCAACGTTTCAAAATGCACCTACATTGTTTTGCATTTTGTGACTTTTAGTTGAAAAAAAGGGACTATTTTTCCATTAAGATATTTCATCATTGAAGATTTCTTAAAGATTGTGTTAAATATCATCTTGTTCTCATGAACCCAATATCATATATGGTCTTGTCTCTTGAGCTAAGTGTATCAACAAGTCTGTATAATGATGGTCTAATGAAATCAGGAACTCAAACTGCTGTACTTCTATTTTTAGCCGATCATTCATTAGAATAGAAGGAGAAATGGGCCATGGACAAATTAAAGGGGCAAGAGAAGATGTGGGCTTCATTGTTCAGTGACTGAACATGCTATGACTTTTTGACTTGTTAAAAAAACAAGAATAAGTAGTAGGAGAATGAGGGCTGATCTGTGTCAGAAAAGTAGGTAGAGGGGCTTGGGAAGTTAATGAAACGTAGGTTACTGCCCAGGACCTGTGTGATTCCCTCCCCTTCTATGCTTCTCTCTCTCTCTCTGGGTATATTAACCTATCTCTGACCCAGATAATGGTTCCTCCCTCTGCAGCATTTACATGTCAGCTCAGCCTAATAGTCTCCATGCTTCTGCTTCCTGGAAAAGACAGCAGGAGAACAGAGGAGACAGGGTGTATAAACGGTTGTTGTTTTTTTTGTCGTCATCTTCTCTGTAATTGCTCATTTTTTAAACCTGTCCTCTACAAAGATCACCAAGGTCAAGCTGAAGCAGCTAGTTGATGTCTCTTACCAGTAGTTTACCAGGCAAAAGCTAATCTGAAGGGTTTTCTTTCTACTCTCCCTCAGGCATAATGGTTAGATTAACAAAACACTAGTCTAACAGAGTGAACAACTGTTTGCTTAACATAAAAAACTGTGCTTATTAATGCTATTGATATATATTGTTAGTGAATTGTTTTATGTACTTAAAATGTACTTTTAATTTCCCTCCCAGACAGTAATATTGACCAAATTTAATTTAATTAATCAAAACCAACAATACAAAGTAGAACAAGACTCAACATGAAGTAATTTGGTCAGACCTCATACAATACTAAAATACTGAGTAAGAATAGTCCGTAAGATATACAGGGGTTAAAAGTAGAATTTATCTGCACAGCTTCTAAATGTGTGTATGTGGGTTATAAAAATGCATAATTATGGTGTAATATAAGCACCACAATAAGAAGTAACAATAAGCCATACAAAAACCAAAACCCTCTTTAATTCTTTTCTTGTCTTCCGACCTTTAGAAAAGCTTGCTGAAGCCCAGCGACGTTTTGCCACGCTGCAGAATGAGCTGCAGTCTTCACTGGACGCCCAGCGCGAGAGCAACGCGCCACCTGGCCTGCGGAAACGCAAGACGATGTTCCACCTGTCACAGGAGGAGCGCTGCAAACACCACAACATCAAGGACCTGAAGCTAGCCTTCAGCGAGTTCTACCTCAGCCTCATCCTGCTCCAGAACTACCAGGTTTCAGCATGCACACTCATGCATTCTCAGACACACCTGCATTCAAGGTTGAATCATGATTCAAAGAAATTAAAGCAATGTAAAAACAAAAGGAAGGGAGAAATCTTTAGAGTAATAAAATTTTTACATAAATAAATGTGCTTTGCCGTAAATAAACCTTCTTGTCTGTTTGTCTCGTATGGATATGTAACAGTTGTTTTCTTGTTGCTATGCACAGAACCTGAACTTCACTGGTTTCCGTAAAATCCTGAAGAAACATGACAAGATCCTGGATACTTCTCGCGGGGCCGACTGGCGTGTGGCTCATGTGGAGGTGGCACCATTCTACACCTGCAAGAAGATCACACAGCTCATCTCCGAGACAGAGGTCCCTGCTCGCACATACACAAATACAAACTATGATACAAAGATGCTGGTGGAAAATAAAACACACACATAAAATCATTGTTGTGTGTGTGTGTGTGTGTGTGTGTGCGCGTGTAGACGCTTGTCACCACAGAGCTGGAGGGAGGAGACCGTCAGAAAGCCATGAAGAGGTTGAGAGTTCCTCCACTGGGGGCAGCTCAGGTCAGAAGTGCATCTGGTTACACTGGAAATCACTTAGTTATATGAGCCTAATTTGTGCCTCTAAACCTTTTGGACCTCTCAAGCAAATGAATGCTTGCAATGCAATGAGGACCACAATGGAAATAAGTTGGTAACTTTCGTCTGTTATCCTCGACAGTTCTGATAAATGTAGATTGTCACTGTGGTGGCATCTTTTTATTCATTTATTTGTGTTACTGTACAATAAAATCTTTCTTGCAACCTGCATATACAGGCTACAAATGCAGAACAGTCCAATAATATCAAGCATTTTCCCTCTTAACTTTGTTTCAAATTACCTGAATACAAATTTGGTGTCCCTGCCTGAGAGTATCCCATCAAGAATAATCTTTGTATTTATCATACTGTAATGAGTAAACAAAAGGTGAGAGGTTTGTTATGAGAGAAATAGAGAGAGGAAGGAAGATGGGAAGAAACAAAGAGAGACAAAACATGAGAGCCTCAAGTATTGATTTTATAAGTGCCTTTCCATTGTTGAACAGACAGGATATCTTTCAGAAACAATCGAGGCAACTGGCACTTTACCCTCCTATGTTATATCTATACTGTTATTACTACATTAATTACTGTCATGTCTTACTTCAATTATGCTATGTGACTATTGATCTTTCCATTTCCCTGCAGCCATTTGTGTTATAAATATATTCAAGCAGATAAAAGGAGTCAGAGTGGCTTTATATGGAGACACTTTCAATAAATTGCAGTTACATGAATTCGCAAAAATCCCTGTAATCTATATGCATATACAGTGTCTGTGATTGTGTTGCATATATACACTGTTTAGGTGTCTTATTAATTAATATAATGAATAATGTTTTTCTGTTTTCCTCTCTGCCTGGTTCAGCCTGCTTTGGCCTGGACAACCTTTCGTGTCGGTCTCTATTGCGGCTTCTTTATCATTCTCGCCATCTCCTTCGTTCTCACTGGTAAGTCACGTAAACATTCGGATTCATACATTTTTTGTCCTGTTGAGCCCTACACAATTTTTTTATGTGTCACTGTAAGATATCTGGTAGATTAATAGGGAGCATGATTGGCAGGTATTTATTGTTGTTTTCCCTCAGATTTGTCTCAGAATATCCACTGTGTTTTTATCAGGTGCTGTGTTCATCCGCTTCGAGAACGTGTGGCCACTGGTGCGGATCTATCGGGGCGGTTTCCTGTTGATCCAGTTCCTCTTCTTGTTGGGCATCAACACTTACGGATGGAGACAAGCAGGAGTCAACCATGTCCTCATCTTTGAGATCAATCCCCGAAACAACCTCTCCCACCAGCACCTGTTTGAGGTCAGAATGGAGAAACAATGGAAACAATTATTTTACTGAGTGAGAGCCCCGAGCCTTCAGAAAATAAACCTTTTCTTTGTAATGAAGAAAACCAGCTTTGTTTTCAGATTGATGTGGGCAATAATGCATTTGTTAAATATGGATTCAGAATGAATGGGGTTGTTTAGTCATTAGGGTAATCCAGATTCAAGAAATACATTACCATGTAAAATAAGAAGATTTTATTCAGCAGAAACAATACATACCACATGTCCACAGGGTTTTAGTTATAGTCTAGAATGAATTATTCAGATTACCTTGTTAATTGTGATTATGTGTCAAAAGTGCTTCCTTTTAATGTCAGTCTCTTCTGTTTCTCTGCAGATTGCTGGTTTCCTGGGTGTGTTGTGGTGTCTCAGCATCCTCTCCTGTCTCTACTCAGAGTACACCTACCTCCCCATGCAGATCAACCCGCTCATTCTTTATGGCTTCATGGTGCTGTTCCTCATCAACCCCTTCAAGACCTGCTACTACAAATCACGTTTTTGGCTCCTCAAGCTGCTGGTCAGTCCACTCATTTATTTACTGGAGCTTTTCTTTCACACTGTGCAACTTTAGTTTGACTTACACCGCTGACATTTGAACTTTGGTGCGACCAATCATACTCACTCTGAAAATGTGTCTTTTTCATTTTATAAGAAGAATGTAATTCAAACTGGATAAATGAGCCTTACATTTAAGGTTCATGGATACAGAAAGACAAATGTTCACCACAGCTGTGAGCCAGCAGTAATTAACCCTTTACAGGACTACCATAACAAAATGAACCAAATGCAAACAAGATGTGACGATATTAGATTCCCTCTCAGTATTTGGACTGAATAACAGTGTCCCAAAAAGTTAAAAAGCTTTTTGTATCATATAATACAAAATTTAATCTCATACGTACTGTCTGCCAGTGAAGTGAAGACAAAGTCGTAGTTTGCTTAGGTTTTATACACTATATAGCAAAAGTTATGTGGACAACCCTGTCAGTATACTTTCGGTAGGGGCTGTTTTTTCATGGTGTGGTGTTTAATGGAAATCTTCATGCTACAGCATGCAATTTTAGACAATAGTTCATCCAGCAGTTTGTGTTTGACCTTTCAATAAGACGATTCTCGTGCACAAAGCCAGCTCAATAAAGAAATGTTTTTACCAGTTTGGTGTGGAAGAACCCGACTGACCCGCACAGAGGCCTAACCTCAACCCTATCAAAACCTTTGGAATGAACTAGAACAGAGATTGCGACCTAGGCCCTAACATCCAATATCGGTGTCTGATCTCACAAATTCTCTTGTGGATGAATGGGCAAAAATTCCCCCAGACACTCTAAAATCTTGTAGAAAGCCTTCACAGAAGAGGTATAGCTGCAAAGGCATAATAATGGCAACTCCATAATAATGCCTATGGATTTAGAATGGGATGTCGTAAAAGCTCCTAAAGGTATCCCAGTACTGTCCTTATCCATACAGTGTAAATAGAAAAATGTCACTGAAAAATGGTCACTGAGATGAAAGAAAACTATTTAAAAAAACAGTTTTGCATGAGCTATTTTTTTTTTGTTGTTTATTTTGTTTTTTACAGCTGTGTATTTTGCTACCGTATTGGGCTGCTGGCACAATTTACATATGTTGCGCGCGTGTTTGTATCGTTATCTCTCACAATGAATGCATGTACAATTCAGATATCCATCTCAAGTCTCGTGTTTACAAACCCTCCTATGTTACTCTGTTCTTTGTCTAAGCTGTGCTACAGGGCTGCCGGGGGGCGGCATGTAGAGTGTGTGTGTGTGGTGGGGGTGTAGTGAGACAGAGGGCAGAGGGTTGAGGGATAATAGAATGCAGCTTCATCCCAGGGGAGGTGGAGGTTTGTGACTGTGCAATCATTATAGGCATAGATCTATCAGTATGCTGATGCTCTGAGCTCCTCTGTCCCTCCTTCTCTTCCTCCTCCTGCAGCAGCAGACCCCCTCCTTATATTCCTGTCCTTTCCTTCACAGCTCCCCACAGTTTTCAGCAACGCTCCCTCAGCCAGCCTCCGCTGACGTGGCTCAAAAATCAATCTCACTCTTGATTGGTCCTGAGCAATCATAACAACCTACACAGAATTAGAGCTGAGGTGTATGAGGTGTTTTTCATGATTGTCATACATGTAGCCTCATGGAATAAGCAATAAGTGATTAAGGATGTTTCAGGAGAAATTGTAGTTTTATTGGAACAAACAGCCTGTTGTTGGTTTTCTAGCAGTGCTATAAAATGTATCTGTGCCAGGTGTGTTAGTTTCCTCTGACAATAAACACCAGACAGAAGACAAAGATTTCCTTATAGGACAAACTGCAGAGCTATCACCTGGATTACTAGTGTTTGTTCAAGAAATGAAAAGCTAACCACATCACTGCAGCAGGCTTAGCCGTGAGACATCCACACACAGATAGACTAGATATGGGTGAAATGGCCACTCGATCAATACAGACTTTGATTGACAGGTTACGAGAAATACGTAATGAGCTGATATGTGTAAAAAATAAAAAAAACAATATCCTTTAACATTTGCAGTGGATGGAGAGTGTGTGTGTGTGGGGTTTGTGTCTGAAAGCGTACATGGAGAGAGGCTTGCAGTCACTCCTGAATGTCAGATGGGGCCTAAGGGGGGTAAATGGAAAGAATCGAGTAGGGTTGTATCATTTTACAAAGCGTAGTCAATAACCGAGCTCCTGCCAAAAGTCATATCCCAAATAACATGCCCATAGAAGCCAAAGCGCGCCACAAAACACTGCCAGCTTGTTTCATGTGTTTGTTTTTATACACCGGTGAACAGTGACACACAAATAAACAAATACATGCACAGACAAAAGCATGACTCATTAGGGTGTCCTGTGGCGTGCTGATAAGGTAGTCTGGAGGCTATATCCCTGTGTGTGTTACAGATCATTTTTAGAGGTTTGTCCCTGCTTCTACTGAAGTGCTGTGACAATTGCACGCTAATTAATTGTTCGCTAATTCGGTCTCAGTGTTGAAAGCACATACACACAGTCAGAAATCACAGAAGTTTTATTTTGTAGCAGCGAGGTCAGCCAAGGTGATTTCTTGAATGCACCAAACATGCTGTATAAATGGGGAATGCATATGTTTTTGCTTTTATACAGTCTTCCCAGTTTATAGTAAAGAATGTTGACGTGCATGTTGAACTCACTGAGATAAGAATGAAAATTATTACAATGTAACGGCTCAACTCTATCTAATCACTTTTTCACCTTACTTCTTTTTACTCTTGTCTGTATCCAGTTTCGCGTGTTCACAGCGCCATTTCACCGGGTGGAATTCGCAGACTTCTGGCTGGCTGATCAGCTCAACTCGCTGGTGTTTGTCCTGATGGACCTGGAGTATCTTATCTGCTTCTACATCTTTGAGCTGCAGTGGAGCAACAGCAAGGGCCTGCTGCCGAATGTTCACGGTGAGACAGTAAACTGGAAAACATTTATTTAGCTGTAACCTCATACTAAATATGTAGAAACATCAACTTTATGCAGCGTTCATTCCTGTTCTCAGGTGGTTGTTGAAATGTAGGAGATTTTAAGGAAAATAGAACTGAAGCAGAAACATAGATGAAGTGTGTAGAAAGGGGGAATACCAAAAACATACAGTAAATTTAAACACTTCAACACAAAAAACCTTTACAGACTGATAGTAAAGAAAATAGATATTTATATATATGCTAATTTTTTTTTGGATTTGTTGGTTATCATAGTGTTAATAATTCACCTGCTACATCACATCATAATATGGAGATAAAGACAGAAAGCTTTTGGTTCTAACTGTGATGGACTAAGTTGACAGTGTGCCAGGCCGTTGAGCTGTCCTGTCAGACAATGTGATGTGAATATGGTTTTAAGTGCTGTCTGTCCACTCCACCAACAGTGACACTTCGGCCTCCACACAGCCAATTAACACGGAAACACGGAGCTAATGGAACGGAAATGTTTGGCCTCACAGAGGCCACCATGTGACTCTCATAATGATGAGCTTCTCTGTGCGAAGGGGAATGTGGGGAGGGCATTGTGGTGGTGAAAAGGCAGAGAAAAAGAAAAGGAGAAGAAGAGATTATAACATAATCATGCACATTTCTACTCTGTTCTAGACCCTGGTAACTACATATGCCACAGCTACTCGTACGGTCTGCGTGCCATCATCCAGTGTCTGCCCGCCTGGTTCCGCTTTGTCCAATGCCTGAGGCGTTACCGTGACACCAAGAGGGCCTTCCCTCACCTGGTGAATGCTGGGAAATATTCCACCACCTTCTTTGTCGTCACCTTCGCTGCGCTCTACGCCACACACAGAGGTAGGACACACACACTATATCTACACTATCTACATGTATTTGTGTGTCATGTACCCCAGGTATTAGGAGCCCAGAAGAGACAGAAGTCAGTCTGTCCAAAGCAATGTCATTTGTATTTTGCTGCTACAGGAGCATGTCAACAACACACAGGCTTTTGAGCCTTTGTATTGAGTCGTGTGTGTGCTCAGAAAGCAGAGGTGACCTTGAGTGCAAATGCCAGAAGTTGGCCTTGGTTTCCTTGTCAGTGCCTAGAGCTTTATAAAGGAAATGGGAAAGGATTGTCAAAGATAGCCACGGATAAACAAGGTTCTGCTCTCACAATATGGCCTTCAATCTGAGAGCAGGAGAGAGAGAAGAGACAGAGCAGAGAAAAGGGAGAAGTAGCTAAATAGAAAAGTACAGAGAAAGAAATGGAAATACTACCATGTGACATCTACTAGAAACAAGATTGGAAGGAGAGAAACAGGGAAAGAGAGTGGTTACTATTAAAAGTCAAGTCACTCTCCCTCTGACAGTTTCACAATTAGCCTGCAATTATTCTGATTCAGAAGTCATATCACAAAGCCATTCATGTTCAAAGGCACCGCACCCAGGCAATAAAAGCATCCCTTCAGCATGCATCCTTTTTATTTCAGTTCTCCACCCACACGACTCGTTTCGCTCATATATCTAAATTCCTCTCAGACGGCAGTTTATATATTTATTTGCAAGCAAAATGTCAGGTATGACACTTCTCCACCCTTTCAAAAGGCTAAATGTTATTTCCCAGCTTGACTTTATTCTTTTCTGATATAAATTCAAATCAATATGCTTGCTTCCTAAGCTGACCGCCAGTGATCTGATATTGAATGAACCAGGAAGAGAGACAGACAGACAGATGGACCTTTTTTCTTCTACAGCTTGGTAGGAAAGGCGTCCATTAAACCATATCCTCCTTCCTCCTCTGGTCTGAAGCCTGTAGACTAATGGCCTCTCTTCATGTGTTATTCTGTATGAAGCTATCTTTCATCCCACACGATAATTCAGGCTGAGACCAATCGCTGGTGAAGAGAAGAAGCAGGGCTGGAAGAGTGACAATTGCACATGTAATAGATGGTTGAAGAAATTGTGGAGATATTTTATGTATCCGCTGCACAAATTATTATTCTGGTAAATTCTAAAGCTTTTCATGAATAAATATGGACATCAATGTCAGAGTGTTCTGCATCCGAATATGGAAATGATGAGCAAACAGCAATAAAAGTAGAAATTACTGGTATAAAAAAAGCCTTTAACCCCGATACGTTCTGTAGGCTTAGTGTAGGCAGGACAGAAGATGCCCAGTCTGCCTGCATTACTGAGCATCTGCCAGAAAAAGACCGCACGGTGGTACCGTGTTCACACCGCTGGGTCCAGCTGTCAAAGGTGGCTGCAGTGTCTGTCAGTATCTGGCAGAGCTCCCAGCTTCTGTGGATGTGTCACCTTCATTGCTAACCTGATGGTTTCCGCGTGACCTCACTGCCTCACTCATTCCTGGAATTGTCCACATTTGCTCCGGGAAAGCATAATACTTAAACCATAAACGCAGCAAATAAATCATGGCCCTCTCTGTGACTGAGGGGTATTCAGTGTCCAGGTCCTCCATTTGCAAATCTAAAAATATTATGAGCTACAGTCTCTTCCAGGGCATGATGCTGTTTTTAGAAAGAAAGTTCCAAAGTTTTTTTTGGCTGTGTTGTGTCGATGTGGGATATGAGCATTGAATCATGTTTGATGTGCAGCAAACGAAGCAGGTTTCTACCCTAAGAGAAACGTTCGGTTCAGCGCTGTGAAGAACTGATTGGGTACCGTCATGAAACTGTAATCTCAGCAGATGCTCAGGGGCCTGTAACCAGAGAGATGATGGAGGAATTCCTGGTTTAGGCAGAATTCCTAAACCCTGTAAGATGCAGTGTAATGCCTGTCACTAAAGTAAAGTACTTTACTCAGGATCAATACCGGCTCTGCTTTATGTACTTTGGCTTGAGACTTATTGCTGTTTTAGATGCAGGGGCGTTACAGGCCTAATGCTAATTTAAACCTGTGGGATTTATCTCATGCACAGGAAAAGGCAGGAGAACACGATGTTGCATGGTGGGCGAAGAATAGCGCAAGCCTCTGGTAGAGAAAAGTTGTTTGGAGGAGGAAATTGCACAGGGTGAATTACAAAATGAGAGATCATAAATGAGAGAAAGTGCAGAGGTGTTTGTCTAGTCAATGCACACATGTTTTTTTTCCGTCTGTGACATCAATATGAAAAACTCCCCAAACCAGCTAAAATAACCATGACCATAGTCCTGCTGGTCTCTGTCAGAGACTGACCGTGGTGGTGAGGGCGGAAATAAATCGAGTCAAGCTGCAACAAAGGATCTGTAAATTTAGAGCTGATAGATCACAGAGGGGGAGGTAAAAATGAAACAGAGGGAGAAAAGAAGTAACGGAGAAAACAAGAGAGCACCAGAGTAAGGTGAGAAACATCAACGTAAAAGAGATGAGGAGTCACAGATTTAATAGAAATCAAAACACGTATAATGGTAGGAAATGGATGAGGAGAGGAGAGGAGAGTAATTACCAGCCCGGGGCTGAACACATGTATGCTGGACTCTGCTGGAATAGAGATGAGCCCAGATCCGACAGCTTTTATAACTTCATTTCATGTACTGACCCCTCGTTCATTATTGCTGCATACACACACACACACGTGCACACAGATACATCCTAGGTCAAACACACGTTAACGAATGACGATAAAAGACACGGCTCTGAGTCAAGTCTCTCTCTGCCTGCTTGAACTCTAATTCACCCCCGCTCCTCCTCCCACTACAGCTAATATATTTACATCTGGAGCCAGACACGGGCCGAGTTAACCATCTGATAAAGGTGCATCCTCTGTAAATGTAAACAATGGACCTTATGCAGGAATATGTGTGTCCTATAACTCTGCTCAAATTTGTTGTAAATCGCTTGATTCTGTGTTGAAATTAATATATTTGGTTGGATGAGGTCTGTTGTTGAGTAGTCTCCAGGTGCAGGTTTCTTAATTACCTTGTTGACGGATTTGGTTGCCATGGCAACAGATGAGAAATCACTGTGGTAGTGGGGACTGATTGTTCTTGTTGAGAACTTGTTTCGTTCACTGGGATGTGGGCCTGTTGCATAAAATGAGCCTGCCGAAGTTCTCTGTCTTTAATAGTGTCTAACCCCATGGGTGCCCGTGGACAACAATAGCAACCTTGTGTGTGAAACAGATTACTAGCAACTGAGTGAGTGTGACAGGAGCCAGTGACCACTATCAGCCCCTCCTGAGCATCAAATCAATGTCCATCTCACCATGCTTAACCTTTTAATGGTCATGGGGCTAACCAGACAGGGGGGAAAAAAACCTCAGCCCTGACAGAAACTGAAGGGTTATATATACTTCATCACTTTACAAGCCGCGTATATAATCGTGTATATTCTCCAGTGAAAACAGTGTATTGTCCAGGACTAAGTTTAATCTACGGCTGGGAAAACTAGGTGAGGCCGTAGGGACTACTTCCATCCCATCGCTCAGCTGAAAAAGCAACCAGCATAATGGGCCCAGCAGTAATTCTCTGTTAGAAATGTCCCCGCTCTGCTCCCCGATGTCTCGTTGGCCGGCAACAGGAAGAAGGAGTGACTGTGACAAATGGGAGCGAGCCCTGTGTCTGTCTGGTGGCCGCTGTCTGTTTGAGTTGTTAGACCACTAAGGAACAAGCAAATCACACCCACAGTGATTATTGACACACACACACCGCCCTGACATTATTCAGAACATCAAACAACTGAACTGAGAGCTTGTTAAATGCTCATCAGCTATGGGCAGGTCAACAAGTTGTTGTTGTTGTTATTATTATTATTATTATCATTGCAGCCAACATGTACTGTAGGTACTTGCCCTTTTGAGAAGCATAAACATTTACATGGCCAAGTCTTGTTTGGATATTAAAAGTAGGACAGAAGGATGTACCATAACTGACATTTATTCTTTCACAGCATTTGGACACTAAGAGCAAAACAAACATCTAGTGCATCTTATATTTTTTATGTGTATATAAATTATATAAATGCATATACAGTATATTTTACACAAGGTAAATCATATATTGAATTAAACAATGTATTGCAGTAATTGCCTCTGTTTATTACACCATTCTCTCCTTTGTTGATGATTGACACAAGTTAGGATACACACACAGTATTGGGATAAGCACAAATCTGCACATACGTTACAATAAATGCAGTTTAATAATAATAATAATAATAATAATCCTTATTTGTAGAGCACTTTTCAAAAACAAGTTACAAAGTGCTTTAACAAGTGTAAAGAATAATACAAAAAAAAAAAGATAAGAGCATGAAAATTTAATATAAAATTAGTAAGATACAATAAAATAAAAGGATAAATAAAGTCAAATAAGATCGGGAAAAGCTCTCCTATAAAAGTATGTTTTAAGAAGGGATTTAAAAGTTCACTGACTCAGCCGACCTGATTTCCTCGGGCAGGCTGTTCCAGAGCCTCGGGCCCTGACTGCAAATGCTCTGTCCCCTTTAGTTTTCAGTCGAGACTCTGGAACAGACAACAGACCTCTGCCCGAGGATCTCAAGGTACGTGCTGGTGCGTATGGGACTAAAAGGTCAGAAATACAAGGCGAGAGGCCATGAAGAGCTTTAAAAGTGATCAATAGAATTTTAAAGTCAATTCTAAAACATACTGGGAGCCAGTGTAGTGAAGCTAAAATAGGAGTAATGTGGTCATATTTCTTTGTTTTGGTTAAAAGCCTGGCAGCTGAGTTCTGGACAGTCTGGAGTCGATCAATAGATTTTTGGGTTAAACAGGTGAAAAGGCTGTTGCAATAATCCAGGCGTATATAATACAAAATGGTCCATTTAAAACATATACACAAACATATACTGTTTGTTTATTCTTCTGTATACTGGACACATGTAACTGTAGTAATAAC